GGAAAGTAATCTGCACAATGGACTACAGGGGGCGCACTGGGAAAGTAATCTGCACAATGGACTACAGGGGGGGCACTGGGAAAGTAATCTGCACAATGGACTACAGGGGGCGCACTGGGAAAGTAATCTGCACAATGGACTAAAGGGGGCGCACTGGGAAAGTAATCTGCACAATGGACTACAGGGGGCGCACTGGGAAAGTAATCTGCACATCTTCTACCAAATCAGAGCTCAATCCCTAAACACACAAGCTCAGTACTAGGAAAACAAACAATTTGGATAAAAAAGTGGGGAAAAGAGTGAATAGACACAGCTCCACAAAGAACATGAACATGGTTGAAGATACTAGGTGTTAGGGAATGCACCCATCCATCCCCATTTCTTCTCTTTCCTCTCTAATATTATTAATCCCCTCAAACAAAAATATTTTTATTTGTCACAGCAGGGATGATTCTGGAAGACATGTTAAATACTTCTATGTGGAAACTAAGACTCAAATGTATAAGCAACTCTGAGTTGTGGGGGAAGCAGGAAGCTTTAGGTCAGAACACACTGTGAACAGCTCGTCACTGAGCATGCAATATGAAGTCTACAGGTAATGAAATTGTACTGAATCATGCAAAATATACAGAGTTCAGCTTCTCTGTTACAAACAACCAAAAGGGCAATGTAACGTGATGGATATGTTAATTCAACTCACTAGAGTAACATTTTACTAAATATATGTATGCTCTCAACCGCCCTATCACCTTTAATGTGTATAATAAACTTTTAAAAAGTGATTATCATATGCTCTCAACTGCGCTATCACCTTTAATGTATATAATAAACTTTTAAAAAATGATTACCAATGATCATTTTTAGGATTGCCATAAGGAAAAAAAAACATGCAAATTTGAAAAGCTTTCGGTGTCAGCGGCAGGTACTGAGCAGAGCTGTCTCCCCAAATAACTTTGCTTACAGTCCAAAGAGTCTATGAAAATCCCTTAACCCAGGGCAGGATTCTGAATCAGCCCCCTTCTCACTTGAGCTTCATTGTTTTTACCTAAAGGTTTTCCTATAGCAGATCTAGGCCTAGCAGCTGACTGAGCCCTGCAGCAGTGGGCAAGCAGACCTAGGCCTAGCAGCAGTTCCAGGTAGAAACCACAGCAGTACAGCACAACATATAACAAAAGCTCAAGCTTACCAATTCATTTATATCTTTAACTAAAAAACAAAACAAAAACAAAAACAAAAAAAAAAAACCACTGCAGAATTGCTTATAGACCGTAATACCCTATCCCAGAAGGAATTACTTCCTTGTTTGTCTCTCTCATTAACAAACTTCAACAGAGCAACTATTGTGATTAAATAACAATCCCTACCATACCTACATTACAGATGCTGATTTTTAGTGATTGTACTAGAGTGAGGAGAATATACAGGATACAAATAACAGAAAATTAGCTGTCAGTTACAGGTGGTAATAGGATATATGTGCTATTTTAATGTGAATTTCAGCTACTGCCATTCTATAGACTGGACCTCAGAAGACCACAAATGGGGTGAGGTTGTAGCTTAGTGGGAAGTCACTGCTTCCCACGGTCCAGGGCCTAAAAAAGCAAAGAGTAAAGTGTGACCACACTGAAAAACGTGAGCTCACACCAGTCCCCTCTCAGAAAGCTAAGACGGTGAATCAGTAACTCCAGACTGTGGTCAGCAGCAAGGTTTGAGGTGGGCATCTAGACTAAGAGAAGCTTAAGTTTTCAAAGGACAGACTCAATGTCCTCATGGTCCTTTAAAAGTCAGTCCAGTGGCTGATTTTCCGGCAGTTCCTCCTTGAAGCCTCAGGTTATGAAATGTGGTTCTGTACCTTATTTATCGACCAGTGGCGCACGGAGTGCTGCACGTCAGTCACCTTGACATATGTGTCCCAGACAACGATAACCCCGATGCAGTCTCCTGAGTACATGTGGTGACCTGGTAAAACAGCAAGTACTCACTCAAGAACGTCACACAAGTTATAAAAACAAAGTATGAAGTTGGGGGAAGCCACAACGTAGACCAACAGTCAAAGCATTGAACTGTCATGAAGAGTTTTTCAATTTACAATGGTTAAAAAGTAAAATGCACAGCATATGCCAATTATCTTTAAGTAAATTCTTCACTTTTAAAAAGCATCTTTGATACCATTTTCATTTGTCATTTATCTGAATGCAAAAAGCAATGGGCGATGTAGTCTGCCTGTCTAGCACCCAGATACTCACACTCCAAAGTATCTGAAGCACCCAGTGTGTATCTGTGTCTGTTATTATCAGCCTCTGTAATTGTTTATTCTCCTAGAAAAATACATATTCTAATATACATTGTAAACACAGCTATAGTGACTATTAAATTTGAAATGATCAGAGAATTTTAAAAAATAGTAATACCAGTTTTAAAAAACTGAATGGGACCCAGAAAACATACAGGTTCAACATCATGGCCATGTAAGAACACGTTACTCATCACTGCTAACAAATAGAGTCTTTAGAACTGTGAATTTAATAGTTTACAAATTAGCTTATTCAATTATATGGTGAATACTGCCATATATGAGATTCTAATTCTGAGCAAAGACAAAAGAAAAGTATATTCTTATATTAGAATCTCTAAAGTTGAACTGAGTATATTACAGTATTATTTTTCTCTAAATATTATTTTAGATACTTATAGCTGCACCTGTCATGTCTAATCTCTGAAATAATATAAAATGACAAGTTAATAGATGAATTTCTTTATTCTCTTACTCAATAAAAACCTATGTTGTATTTTAAAATATTACATATATTATTCAAATGCTGAGATACTTTAATTATTTGCAAATTCCCTTCTTTATGTGTTTTTAAAAATCCTGTCAATATATCCAGCATATGTATTTACAACATTCTTTTGGAATTTTTCCCATCTCTTTTATTTTTGTACAACCTAACTTAAAATGTTCTTAAGGGCAATTACTAAAAATAATAATCACTAACTCAAATAAATATATTTATGAAATGCAGTACATGAAGGGTTTTTAGAACAAAGGATGGTAACTGAATACAAATACTAGGAACTTAAAACCTTTAAAGTTATTAGCAGAATACTTTCACTGTCAGATTTATCTCATTACTTGAAACTATGAATAACTTTAAATATGTGCAAATAGTAATACAGCACATCTCTCACAAGCACCACCTAATGGAGAAAGGATTCAATTCTTTGGGTAAGTGTTCTTGATTTGAGCATGCTCTGTGGTATACCTTCATCATCAAAGCAGATGGAGTTGACAAAGCTCTTGTGCACATCTAGCTGACGCACTAATATGGCAGCATCCTCCCTTGCATCAATTTTCCATATTCGTATCATAGAGTCGTAGCATCCCGTAACCACCAGCTCTCGTGTGGCTGGGTGGAATTTAGCCGTGTAGACAAAGGAAGGGTGAGGTAAGACTCTGAACGTGTTTGTGCTGTTGATTTCATTCTTCCAAACCCTGGAAAAGGAGAGAAAGGAACTGAAGTACAAAACGGTCTCTAACCATTTTTAGGAGAATATAGCCAATAAATCTTAGGTAAGCAAATGCCAAGCAATGGTAAGCAAATGTAAATTAGTATTTATAAAAATCATGATGGTGATCACAAATGAGATGGTACTAGATTATTTTACTTTTCTTTTTATAAAACCATTTCTAATGAAATATATTTTATCTATAACTAATCTATACTGTAAAACTAAAATTTATTTGTATTTGGACATAATCTACTTTAAAACTATTCTTGATATTGAGTAAATATGCAGTGAATAGTTGGTATATTACTTAGCATAATATGCATTAAAAAATAGGGAAGGGGGCTGGAGAGATGGCTAGGTTACAAGCACTGGCTGCTCTTGTAGAAGACCCAGGTTAAGTTCTCAGAACCCACATGGTGGCTCATAACCAACTGTAATTCCAGTTCCAGGAGATCTAAGACATCTTCTCTGATCTCTGCAGGCACCAGGCCTGCATGTGGTGAACACACAGACATTCAGGCAAAACAGTCAAACATATAATTAAATACACACATACATAAATAAATAATTTAAAAAGACATGACGAAACTTTTAATGAGTTTTCAACTAGGTTGTATGAACTGGTTCTGAAAATGTTTCCTAGTGGAGGCCAAGAGAATTAGAGAGCCTAATAATTTTTTATTTGTATTTCAAAGTCTAAATAATTAATATACATTTAGGTCCTAAACACTTACACATCATAATTAAATAACCAATTTCCTTTTTAAAAATAGTATGTGTGTGTGCCCACGTGCACACATGTGAAGACCAAAGCATGATACTTCCTCTATCTTTGAGCCTTATTTTTTTGAGACAGAAGCTTACTGATGGTCTAGACAGGCTGTCCAGAAAACTCCAGGCATTCTTGTGTCCTCCGCTCCTGTAGAGTGTGCTGCTGTGCCTGACTGTGTGGACAGGTCTGGGGATCTGAACTCAGAACCTTGTGTTTGCACTTTTATGCATATCCTGCTCTGTATGAGTAAAAGAATTATGGTATTTTGGCAGAGAACACTTTTTCATACACCAAGCACTATTTTTATGCTTACCACTCCATTTCTTTTTCAAATGCCCGGGTGCATGTATCAAACAGGTAAATCAGGCAATGGGATGTAGCTCTCTGAGTATAGGTCAAGGGGTATTTTATATGATAGATTAGGTGAATGAAATCAAAAGAGTATATTTGTATTGGTAATTTATAGTTGATTTATAAATTACTGCCTAAGACCTACGTACCAAATTATAAATAAAAGACAAAAATATAGTCAATCTATTTATTCAAAAGAGGTATTTTGAGTTTTCTCAGCACCTGATTAAAATATACGTTGATACAGACAGATTTCAATGAACATATGCTACATGAGATAGAATTGAAATGAAGATAACAAAATTGCTAGTTTGAAAGGAATAACATGATAGTTAAAGCTAAATTCTTCAGTCGGTCGTTAATGAGTCTTAGGTCATTATTTGAAATACTGTACATAACAATGAAATGAAGACCTTCTAAATGACTCAATACAGTACAGGATAGATGTATATGTATTTTATTAAAGCTTTTTTGTGGAAAAACTGAATCGACTTTTTAGTCGATTTTTTAAGCAAGAGTAGGCTCTAACATCAAAGGAAATGTATTCATGGTTTCTCAGCTGTCCATAAAGAACAAGGAGATACAAATTAAAGAGTGGACAAAAACACGAAAATGTCTCTAGACTTGGGAAAGAAAAACATATCCTAAAAGCAGCAACAACAGAGCATGTGAAATGGGTATAACTGGGAGATAGCAGCCTGATGGAGAGCCAGCATGTGTGGTTGTCTGTCCCAGTGTTTCACAAGCTGCTGATCTGAGAGCTCTGGACCGTGCCGGAAGCAAGTCAAGGAGAGAATAAGCTAAGGCCTTATGACAGACTTAGCAGGCCAGGCAAAGGAGACACTGGGAGAAACTAATGAAAACACACAGTGATGTCAGGAGAACAGAGTACAAGTCAGAAGTAGAAACTCACAGTTCTGCAGCTTGTGGGCAGGGTCACTGTGCTACCTTCCTTTCAGAGATAACGTACTCATTACTAATATACCCTCTCTCGTTCAAAGGTCTCTGGTCTTCTCAGTTCTAGTTATGATGCTTTTCTATGCATTCACCTAATGCTTTCACAGAACTTTTATGATATATAGAGCTTGAATTCCTGCCAATTTTAATGCTACTTAGAGGAAAACATAATGAACCATATGCTCATGGATTCCCGTGAACAATGGGGACATTCTGATCACTAGTTATACAGAAAGGGAAGCTGACAAAGTGACCATGAGCCCAGGCATTAGAAATCACATGGTTTATTAAACAAGCACAGGAGACAGCGAGAGCAAATGAGAATGAGGTTAGTGTGGGTCTCAAAATGAGTCCAGTAACAGCTTCCCAGGCTGAAGAGAACATGTCTGTCTAATCTAAATGACTCAGATAAAAGTATCTTGCAACCTTTTATTTTATCATGTTTTGTCATATTTTTACTATCATAAATATTCAAGGTTAAACAAACAGCTAAAAGATATAAATAGAGTTTAAATATTAGCTTTTAACACATTTTATTGAGTCAGGTATGCTGCACATGCCTATAATCCCTGCACACAGGAGGCTGAGTTATTAAGTGTGCACATTTGAGGTTAGCCTGGGCTATAAGTAAGACTATGAAAAAAAATTGAATAATTTTTCAATTGAATAATTGAAAAATGTTGTATTGTGAAACATATTAAATCGAATGGAGATAAAACTGACTTTGTGAAAACGCAAATATTTACAATTTATAAAGCTGTAGGGTTCTTAACTGAGGGTCTACCTGGTTTACTCTGGCCAATGGATTCAAGCCCTACAATGAAGACAGAATCATCACATACATATAGGACAAATCTCAAACATTTAACCTTCCTGAAAGATATTAGTTAGTAGTTTACATATAATCATTTAAAACCAGTTAGATCCAGAAATCATATATATTACACAAATAAAAGATGTGACTTGCCTTAAGTTTTACTGCTGTGAACCAGTCAGTCTGCACGGTGCACAGCTATGATGATAGGGCCATATGTGTCTCTTTATATTCTCATAGCTTTCCTTGATGGCAAACAACATACACGGTAAGTTCTTTCTGAATGTATACTAACCTGGCAGTGCCATCAGAGGATGAAGTAACAAGATAGCGGTCATCTTTTGACCAGTCGATGTCATAAATGATATTGAGGTGGCCACACAATTCTCTCATGAAACGTCCAGAAGGAATTTCATATACTAATAAAAAATATTTAGAAATGAAATTTCTAGGAGATCTTTAATTCAACAAATATATAAACACACAACTTATAGTAATTTAGATAAAAATTAAGCGCTATCGTTTGTAATATTAGCACAATTTAAAAATATAGCCAAGAACTGTTTTCTTTTGCTTTAATCCCAAGTTTACACAACATTATACATGCGCTAAATGTTGACAATAGTCTTTAATATGCTCTCAGGTGCTCACACTGTGAATCCCAAAAGAACTTTTCATAATTTGCTACTTAAAAAATAAATAAAAACTTACATAACACTTCATTTTAAGAACTTTACAACTCGGTGGTTCATGACTAAGGTATTACTTTCCTCTAAAAAATTCAATTCCCAAAGTTTTGGGTGTAATGAGAGATGTAACTGTCCCACTGTGAGGAAGAAATCTACTTGAGAATGGTGGAGCACAGTGGGACGTGCAGCGAGTGAACTGGACAGACAGACAGAAGACAGACAGAGCACGATGAACAGTATTAGGGCTCAAAGAAACTGGCAGGATGGCTGCCTAATAAGAACAGGGCCACATCTTTTGTATCCATTCTTCTGTTGAAGGACATCTGGGTATTATAGCTTCTACTTCTGGCTATTATAAATAAGGCTGCTATGAACATAGTGGAGCATATGTCCTTGTTATATGTTCGAGCATCTTCTGGGTATATGCCCAGGAGTGGTATAGCTGGGTCCTCAGGTAATGCTATGTCTAATTTTCTGAGGAATCGCCAGACTGGTTTCCAGAGTGGTTGCACCATCTTGCAATCCCACCAACAATGGAGGAGTGTTCCTCTTTCTCCACATCCTCTCCAGCATCTACTATCACCTGAGTTTTTCATCTTAGCCATTCTAACTGGTATGAGGTGGAATCTCAGGGTTGTTTTGATTTGCATTTCCCTGATGACTAAGGATATTGAACATTTCTTTAGGTGCTTCTCGGCCATTCGAGTTTTCTCAGTTGAGAATTCTTTGTTTAGCTCTGTACCCCATTTTTTTAATAGGGTTATTTGGTTGTTTGGAGTCTAATTTAAAAAACAATGAATTTGAGAAATTCTTAGGCAAATGGGTGGAACTAGAAAATATCATCCTGAGTGAGGAAACCCAATCACAAAAGAACACACATGGTATTCACTCACTGATAATTGGATATTAGCCTAGAAGCTAGCAATACCCAAGATTCAACTCACAGACCACATGAAGCTCATGAAGAAGGAAGACCAAGTCTGAGTGCTTCAGTTCTTCATAGAAGGAGTAACAAAATACTAAAGGGAGCAAATATGGAGACAAAGTATGGGACACAAACTGAAGGAGGGGCCGTCCGGAGACTGTTCCACTTGGATATCCATCCCATGTGCAGTCACCAAAGGTAGACGCTGATGCGGATGTCAGGAAGTGCATGCTGACAGGAGCTTGATATAGCTGTCTTCTTAGAGGTCTGCCAAAGTCTGACATATTCAGAGGCAGATGCTCACAGCTACCCACTGAACTGACCAAGGGGTTCCCAGTGGAGGAGGAGTTAGAGAGAAGGAGCTGAAGGAGCTGAAAGAGTTTGTGGCCCCATGAGGGGAGCAACAATACCAACCAACCAAAGCTCCCAGGGTCTAAACCACCAGCCTGGGAGCACATAGGGAGGGACCCATCGCTCCAGCTGTATATGTAGGGGAGGATGGCTTTGTCGGGCATAGGTGGGAGAGGAGATCCTTGGTCCCATAAAGGCTGGACGCTGAGTGTAGGGGAATTTGTGGGTAGGGAGGTGGGAGTGGGGGTAGATGGGGGGCACATCCTCATAGCAGCAAGTGGAGGAAGGCTAGGATAGAGGCCTTCTGGGTGGGGGGGGGAACGGGGTAAGGGGATGACATGGGAAATGTAAATAAAATATATAAAAAAAAAATAAGTAATTCTCAAAAAAAAAAAAAAAAGAAAGAACAGAGCCAACTCTCTACTCCCACCTAGTGGTAAAATCAACTGCTCTTTAACAAAGTGGGGACTTTGGGAATCTATTCCCCTGTAGAAGCGAAGAGAAACCTTAGTGCCACAGACCTCTGGAATTACCTAGCAGTGCTTAGGAAAGCTGGGGAGCACTTTCTGAGAAGACAGCTGAGTCTCAGTAAGGACATCAGTTTTGTGTTGTTACAACTATCTAGTTCCTCCTCCCTACACACCCACACAACCTTACAAACAATGCCACTCAGGTGCCCAGAAGCTACTCCATGAGGTAAGATGGGTCTAGAGCTCTGGACTCCCTGAAAACTCCATTTACAAAGAAGTTTCCCTATTTCATGACCTGTTAGATCCAAAATAGGACCCAAGGCTTACTTAACACGACTTTCTGTAGGCTTCATACAAACATGCTGATTCTAGTGTGCATCTAAGCAGTCAGTGGCATCATTTGACACTGTGGCTGCCTAAGGGGTTGACACCACCTGGGGAAAAGAAGAAGCTTACGCAATGAACACAAAATAGACCAGATTCAAAATATTGCTTAGAACCTAGGTTGCCATAGGTGTATGTAAAGGCTATGTGCATAACCAAGAAAAACCTGGAGGGTTTATCTCTCTATGTAGGGACATGAAGAGGCTCAGCACAAAGAGGAAGAGGAGGCTTGGAGAGCTTTGAATTGTGAGCTGAGGAACTGAGACAATATCCCAGGATAGTGTTCCCTGGAGGTGAGGATTAGCAGATCCATGCAACACTAACTGGCTGACTAGGTACAGTCTACAAAAGACTGATAATGTAGAAGACAATAAAGACTTACAGTATTCATCTAGGAGATTCACTGCACAAGCAGAACAGTAGCTAAACTCAGGTGGCTGATGGAAACACATGGGAAACAGAGCTATATTGTACAACATCATTTCAAATTCCCAGTTTTCAACATAAAGTTGTAACATGGAAAGAAGCAAACAAACAGGAAAGTACAGCTTCCCACAGGAAGGAAAAGCAGTTATCGCAAAGCATCCATACAGAAACTGTGGCAGCCCAGTTCTCATCTTTCTCCATGACATCATTAACCTATCATTATCAGGTCAAAGACCTAAAGAAAATCAAAGGGTTAAAGAATAAGAATGACTCCTCACAAAGACAGAAAGCATCTGTAAATAAATAAAAACGAACTCAAAGGAAGCTTTAGAGCAGGAAAGCAAAATTGCTGAAATAAAGAACGCAGGATAGTGGCTCAGCACTGCCCTAAGCTGGTGGAGGAGGAAACACTAAACTTGACAGTCAGTCAACTGAGATGGTCTGGTTTGAAGGACAGAGAGAGAATGAAGACAAATGAGTAAGTGGCAGAGATCCACTGGACAAGACCACGTCACAAAGGGGTGTGATGGCAGTCCTAGGAGACAACGGGAGCAAACAGAGCATCTGAGAAGATGATAAATGAGATTTCTGAAATTTATGAAAGGCATTAATCTGCACACTGGACAAGCTAGGGGGATTCTCAGTAAGACATGCCATATTCAAACAGTGCAAAGCCAGAGACAATGACTCTGACTGCATTTTCTGGATCTAAATAGAGGCAGATTTAAGTCTCTGATTATTTAAGCTTGGAATAACATTTAGCACAGACAAATCAGAACAAGAGTTGTTTGTTCATTACCCAAAAGCAAGAACTGAGTATTGCTATCTGGGAACGTGTCTCATGAACACCATGAACTGTGTGGCAGGGTGAAGGGCAGCGTGGTCTAGCACTCAGGGCAGACACCCGGAGGGGCTGGCTTCTTCTTGCCCAGGAGAGTCCATTTAATTACTGAGATAAAAGGAATCATTAAGTCCAGAATAGTGCAGCAGTGTTTTTAAACTCTCCAAAGCTACGAAAACATCTTGGCCTTTCTGCTGGCACCCCTGTTACCACGGGAGCTGTCTTTGAAGGGCTTCAGGTCCTTATTACAAGTCTAGCATATGACAAATGCTGCACTTTGTAACTTAGACCATCACAACTATCCACTAAAATAATATGGACTAAAAGTTTCCTGTGAGATTTACTCTTCCTTCTTGTACTAAATGTGTATATTTAAGATAGATAATGTTTATAAAAATCTACTTGTATGTTAAAAAGTAACACCTTCCATTCAAGCAGTCTCATTCTGAATAGATTCTATAAGGTAACTATCCCTTTATTTGAAGAAATCTGATTAATATTAGAACTTCTTAAATTAAGACTTAGATATCCAAAAAACCTAATATTGACTATAAAGAATACAACCAGGTTAAATAGGTAGCATCATTTCTCACATATAATCGGATATCCGTCTCGGCTGGCACAGGCTGCTGCCAATATCCTTCCATTGTGGGAGAAATCAAGACAAAAACACCCTCGTTCTCCAGCATTTAGTGAGAAGAGATGCTTGTTTGGGATACGACAGGCCTGAAAAGAATACATTTAAACTACATGAATCAAAAAATAAAATAACCTGATAATTTCCATTACCATAATTTCCTCCTAAAGTTCTTTTACTATTACATATAGGAAAAGGAACACATGTACATAGAATGAAGGAAAGCTACAGTACAGAATTGGTTTTCCATGAAATTAGTATGTCTAATTAGCACTTGATTAATTTAAAACAAAGGAAAGAATGTCACTGTCTGATGCTCCAACACCATCACTGCGGCACTGCTTCTACAAAGGCACATACAGAATGTTTTCACCTGCTTACTCCATGGCAGGAGCCACCTTTCCTAAGGTCCTAACATCTCAAAACTAAAGTACACATAACGTCATTGCCAAATTCAGGACTTATGAATGGTTGTTCTCAGGATTTCTTTCCTCCAATAATCACATGTTGTTGCTGTCTCCAAGACAGAGCACAGTCCTCTGACTTTCCCCAGTTTTGATTTCTGTGGCTTCAATTATTCATGATCAGTATGGTCTAAAAATATCATGTGGGAAATTCCGGAAATAAACAATTCCTCAGTTTTAAAATGTGTTGGACTTCTGTAATCCCACCTCCTACTCTGGATATGACCTCTTTGTTCATGTAATGTTATGTGTTTTACTGGCCCATTAGTACTCAGCAGTTGACTAGTTATCAGGCAGACTATCATGATACGCAGAGCTTGTGTTCATTAATGGTGGCACCAGGCATGAAAGCAGTGGTACTGTACATGGCCTTCCTTTGAGTGCAAAGGTGAGACAGGCCTAGCTCCTGAGTTAAGAGAGGAAGTAAGCACACACTGGGTCCTCAGTGTGTATCATCAACGTCGTGCTTCACTACAAAGGTCTTTAAGTATATTCATTGCAATAGCCCAGTGAATAGTTATTGTCAACTGACAGTAAATATCATTAACTAAACCCAGCTACTAAAGATTATCCAGAAGGGAGTTTGTGCCAGGTAAGCTTTTCCTTCCTTACACTGCTTTTCTCTCACATTTTGTTGCAGGAATGGTGAAACCAGAAAGTGCAGCTTACCTGGCCGGGCAGACGCTTCCACTTTACTTCCTCCTTTGAATCCTCTAGTCCAGGTTCTGTGTCCACGGAACTTGTGTCACGGTGGCGTTCACAGAACACTGGTGTGCCCCTTTCCTCCTGGAGAGCCACCATAGAGCGGTATGACGGCCTTATCTAAATGTGTGTGGAAAATGGGAAAATGAATGTCAGGTTCAACGCACAAACAGGCATAGGCCATGGCACACTTGTGGGAACTGGTTTGAGTGAACCAGTTCCATGGGGGTCAAGTGGAGGTCAAGAGGCTTGTCCAAAGCTGATTCTCCTTCTTACTGTTTTTACAGTACTGCAAAATAGCCTGGTGTGATGACCCACACCTTTAATCCCAGCACTCAGGAGCCAGAGGCAGGGGGATCTCTGTAAGTTTGAGGCCAACCTGGTCTGGTCTACAGAGTGAGTTAGAGGACAGCTAGACCTACATAGTGAAACACTGTCTTGCATCAAACAAAACAAAACAAAATTAAAATACTGAAACAAACAGTATGGAAACCTTTTCCAAACATGAGCCAGATTTTGTTTTCATGTATATATTACTTTAAATAAATCAAAACTATTTTAATCATGCTTCTGTAGTCATATGGCTTTCAAAGTCTGGAAAAAAAGAGAAGTCTCCAACAGTCCAAATGGTTTTACTTCTTACTTTTATTACATTATTTGTTCTAGTTTTTGAGACAGGGTCACAGGCAGTTCAGGTTGCCTCGACCTTGCTACGGATGAAGTGGGCTCTGTGTTCTCTACTCGACTTCCCACATGCCGGGGTGACAGGCTTGTTTCCACACCTGCTCTGTCTCCTGTGTCTACCTCTTCATAAATACCTACCTAGTGTTATGGGATGCCTCTGATATAATGATACTGCTAGCTTAAAAACAATCACAAAGCTAATATTAAAAATCTGAGATTAAAAAATGTCTATCCCTTCATATATTTTATTTAACTCCATTTAGATCAGTGCAAATAAACCCTGTGCTCACAGTATATTAAGTCATCTGTAGAATATGAAACTCACCTGAAAGATAAATATTAAGAAAGACAAAAGCTTCATTTTAGGATCATTTATGATATAATCGTTAATGTTTATCTGTAGACAATAGCAGTACAAATGCTATTGCTGGTTATTTGAATGACTCCAGTGAGAAATATGTAAGTCAGAGATCTGCAAAGAACAGCCCATGGATGAAATCTGTTTTACTACTTGCTACAAATAAAGATACACTGAACACATGAAGGCATTTTGTCTTAATGTCTCTACAGCTACTCTGTCACCTAAGGTTAAGTAGTTGTGGTACATAGAACCTAGCTGAAAGTCTAAAATACTTTATTTCTTGCCCTTTATAATAAAAGGTTTCCCAGTACCAACTTTTCATCCTTTCATTTTAAACTACAAAATATGAAAGTGTGCCAAAAGAGGTTTTTTTCTTTTAAACAATGAAGTCTATACTTTAAAACTTAGTTCATCCAACTATCAACTGATATACACTTAGTGTGTTGTTTTTGCAGGCATCTAAAAAATCTGTTAAAATATTCTCAGAGTTTAGATTTTTTTAAATATGAAAAATATACTATGTCATCCTTAATTTTAATCGAGAAGATGCATTTATATATACTATTAACTTACACAGTCCGGGACTTTCAGTCCTCGTACAGTTACATACAAGGTTGATGGATAACGATTTCTTGGACACTTGGACCACCATTCAAACACCTCAACAACATTTAACTGGGATCGAGGCTTAGTAGGTGGGTAGTAGAGCTGCAGACGAAGTTTTGAGTTGATGTTTGCATTTCCATTGGCTCCCAGAAGCTTAAAGTAAGAATTTGTATTAATTATTAACTTTTCTGAAAAACACACATCCAAGAAAACAACAGCAGAGTCAGAAGTTTGGTTTTAAAAGATTAAAACAAGGTTGAAATTCCTTAGGCTTATGAAGAAAAAGGCAGATCAACCTGAAGTAGTTTTGACAAATGACTTTGAGAACATTTCCTAAAGCACTCTTTTCAGCATTCAGCCTCACAGACTGCTGTGCAAGCAGTTACATCATGGTAACAGGAGGTATGTTACAGAAACAAAGTGGGCGACACACGCTTGTTTGAACTAACAATAGTAAAGAGTAAAGTATAAATCACTGACCACAAACACATTTTCCATTCATGGCAGTCGTTTTTCTTAGCAGGACTGAAGATTAAATCTACTGCAGTTTTCCATATGCTCCACAAGTGTCTACTACTAAAGATACGTCCCTAGCTTCCTTTTCCTTCTCTGATACTCAAGCAGGTCTTGAACTTGTTAATACTGTGCCTCAGCCTCCCCAGTAGCTGGGACTCCAGGAGTACATGAATAGTTTTAATGGTTAACATGATATGTTTTAGATTTTTTAAGACTCGAAATCATTTTAAGAGAAGTTAATCCAAACTGTCCACTTAATTTTTCAATATTTTAGTCTATCTTCTTTGAAAGGTCTATTGAAAAAGTCAATTAGACAAAAACAAAGATAAGCAGACAGATGGAGATTCTTAGGAAAAAGTTTAAACTCTCAGGAGTTCAGATAAAGCTTTCTTTTCCTACTTAATGAGTGAAGAGGAAATGTTGCCAAGAGTGCTGTGCACACTGTGAACTTGGAGTAGAAAGCCACGTCCCTGTGCAGCTCAGCAATTACAGTACAAAGTGACGTCATGTGCAGCTCAGAAGCACAGGCGTTAAGTGCAGGCCACTCAGTAGCTGCTGTTGACTGACACAACTTGGATGACTGGGAGAAAAGAGCCAAGGGAGACTCAGTGTAGAGCTGTCCCAAAGACCTATGACGATGGGATGCTCTACGCTGAGTGAACACATGGGACTGTCAAGTCCTCAAGTGTGCTTGGTGCAACTATGCAAGTGAGCTTTTAGTTATGCTTAATTTCACTTAATCTGCAACAAACCTGCTATGTCTTACTTGTGGTTATAAGCTCATGAAACTGTGCAGACAATAGGAAAACTAAGAGACAGGAGAAAGGATAAGAGATTTGGCAGAATATTCGAAGCTGAAATGGCCAGAAAGAAAATGTATTCACAAATCTAAAGAGCAGGAAATGAGAGTGGACTTAAGAGAAGTGAATCAGAGAAGAAACTGAGTTCCATTAGGAGGTAGGGACCAGTCTTGAAGGAACGGGATAACCAAAGCACAGGAGGGTGCTGCCAAGAAAGCAGAGACAGCAGGGACTCACAGGAACAACGTGTTAAGCGCATGTATGTTTGACACAGGAACAAGTGACATTCGTGATTCGGCTGGAAAAGTTTTGGTGGCAGAGGCAAACTCTAGATTGTGGCCTGTTGAAAACATCTCATCAGGGAAGCACACACAGCAAATGTAGCGTGTTCCCCTACAACTTTGGGAAAGCATGAAGAGACTATGGATTTACAAGCTCAGGGAGTGATACTGTGCTCGATTAGGAAACGACAGTTTAAAAATGTGTAAAATAGCATTCGCTCTTTAAACATGAGCTCTACACACTCTACAGAGGCCTTTTTATCCTTTTTCTAAAAATTTTTTATTGGATATTTTATTTACTTACCTATCAAATGTTACCCCCTTCCCAGTTTTCCCTCTGCAAACCCCCTATCCCATCCCCCACTACCCCCTGCTTCTGTGAGGGTACTCCCCTCCCCCACTCCTGCCTCCCCACCCTCAAATTCTCTTACACTGGGGTATTGGGCCTTCACAAGACCAAGGACCTCCCCTTCCACTGATGCCAGATAAGGCTATCCTCTGCTACATGAGCAACTGGAGCCATGGGTCCCCCTATGTCTACTCTTTGGTGGTTTAGTCCCTGGGAGCTCTGTGGGGTCTGATTGGTAGATATGTTGTTTTACTATCGCCCAAAGCACAACACAGACTTTAAGGATTCCCCAGCTCCCAAATCATACTTTTTAAAGTTGTTTTAATACTGTCTAGACAATGCAGTTTATACTAGTGTGTTGCTTAGCCAAGTAAACAATTTGTGCTAAGAAATCCATAATGAACATGTCATTGTGACTATAAATTATATAATATAGCTACTTCTATATAAGTTTCATCATTGCATAGTTAAAATAGTCACAAACATATTCTAGAAGAATTGAAAGTACCTGAGACCAAAGGCTTAACTGAAAATTAGCGTATGCTTAATGGACCATAGCAAAAAGGGGGAAGGTCCTGAATCCACCAGCACAAATACTCAGACTTTTACATTTACATTCTTGTCATTTTATTCAATTTTTAAGTTTACCCTAATTGCTTTCCACTCATGTCAGGAAATCCTTTAGTTTACATTCACCCCTTTGTATGTCTGTGTGTGCTGGGACACAGTGTCCTTGTGACAGTCCAAGGGAATTATGTAACACATCTAATATAACTGTGTGTATGTACATATGCATGCACATAAATAAAATAAAAACTAAAACTGTTCAAAAATTAATCCAAACAGAATTACTGGTAACTATGTAAAGCTTACAGTACAACGAAGGATAAGATACACAGTATTAAAAATGGAAAACACAAAATCCACTCCCCTTTATGGAGACAGGGATAGACTCCCAAATTAATTTCTTCTGACAATGCCTCAATATGGATGAATTAAAATCCACATGATCTTGAAAAATAAAACGCTGTGCCATTTGTGGTGTTCTAGCTTAGGGCCCACACAGCAGGTCTGCTCAAACTGTAAGAGGATAAATGAGCCTATCCTAGTAACCTGCTTTGTGTAAAACACTATCATACTTTGCAGTGCTCATTAAAACTTAGCACCAGCTCAGACCCTCCCACGCTATGAGGTCAAGGATTGAGGGCTGCTGACTGAACAATGGCTCATACACTGAAAGGACTCATACATTGACCACCAGATGGCAGGATGCATGTGTCTTTGAGTACAATATCCCCAGAGTCGAAAAGAATAAATAGTGCATTCTGAGTAATCAATAAGTATTTCAGACTTTTAAAAGCTTTACTAAGAGTTAACAAACTCTTAGAGACTCAAACGACTTGGTGGAAAACTGTAATCAAATTTAGAAGAGATTATTTTAAATACGTTTAAAAGAACAGGTGAAAATGTACCTTAAGAAATGCCCAGGCAATTTTCCTAAAGCCACATTCTTGGTTTTGAACCTCAGAGTTATTCTTGATTTCATCCATGCTTAAAAAGTCAAGAATCTGTAAATATATTTAAAAAAGTTATTTCACAGAGTAACAGATTGTCTAAATTCCATAGTCTCTATTGATACATTATATCTGGCACCCACAGATCATACTGAAACATTACATTCTTGGTATTAAATTCTCACATTATCACATAACAAAACTATTAAAATCAACAACTCACACTTGTATGCTTAAATATTTACTAAAATTATTTTTAAATTCATACCTCAAAGAACAGAATGACTTTTGGACACTCATCAAACTCTCGAAGCAAATAGGGAAAATTTTCATTAAAAATAACTTGCTCCTCCCACTCCGGAAGCCTCGACTTCAGCTTTTTAAAGTCATATGGCTGCGTCATAATAGGGAGGATATAGTCCACACTGTCTTTCTCATAGTAAGATGAAACAGGACGCTCACTGTTCAGAGACAAAGTTTCTATTACTACAGTTCACCACATAGTTTTTAGAGGGTAACACTAAGGAGAAAAAATTACATAGCCCATAAAAGCAGAAATAGTAGCTATCAATGGCACAAAAGCAAAGCCTATGTTCTTTAACATCTAAAACTCATAAATTTTATAAAATATTAGAAGTAATAGTGTCTTCTTACAATCTTGTATTCTGTTTTGTTTCTTTAGGTCAGATAGATAATTTATTATGAAAGTAGAAAGTGAAAGGTGTAATCAACCTTTAATGTACAGACCTAAATATGGCAACTCCTTCAGAAGTTTAAATGAGCTTATGACAAAATGCATAGTAAATCCAAATAATAATGTAAAAAGATCTTTTACACTGTCATCTTTTCTTTGTATGTACTAACACATCTACACAGATGTGTTCTCTTTTTTGTAATAACTTTAATGTTCTTCTAAGCAAATACTTTTTTGAATTAGTATAATCTAGTATAATGCATAGAGAAATTTTAATCCAGCAACATAGCTGCTCTAGTCACATCCAATGACCTTGTAGGTCTGTGTGATCTGGTTGGAATGCAGACATGCCCTCAGTACACACCTTTACTCTCAAACAATGACGTCCAATTGAGGGACAGACAAAGTGATGAATCAGAGAAAGATTTGACAGTATAGGATACGCCCAACTCTCAACAAGAACCGCACAGGAAAGAGAAGCTATTTAAGAGGAGCACAGGGAGAAAGTCCAGTCAGTTGGGAATCAGTTCTGGTCCATAGAGTTGAGTTTAGTCAGTCAGTGAGTGCAGGCAGTAGAGTTGAGCTCCTTGGTGGTGAGTCCCTGCAGTTCTGTGCAGGTCAGCAGAGGCAGTTTTTACTGGGACAGTTTTACAGATATAGGTTGCAGAGAGAACAAGCTAGACACACGTGAAGACAGAATGAGCCAGAGAATAAGAAGGGGCCAGAAGATTAGAACAGATTGCTAGAATTAGTTTGAGGCTAAGAAGAACAACTCAGTCAGAATCTGACAGAAGCCTAATTGAGTAAGTCATCTTGGAGAGGAATTTGAGCTAGAACAGCTGAGTTGAAACAGCCATCCACAGTTCAGAAAGAACTAAAAGGGTAAGCTTATTCAGCAGTAAGCCTCTGAGATGACAATTACATTTGACAAATAAAGGTTACTTATACAGTAACAATTTATTTTAATGGCTTTTAAACCTATGTATGTGTGTTCACTTATTATATACATTATATCTTATGTATATGGACTCAAAAATGGTTCTCTCTAGATAAACCTTAGGGGAAAACATATTCAAGATACACTTTTATCACCCCAGGCCCATGAAACACAGTAATTTCAATGGAAAGCAGGAGGCTAACAATGAGAACACTTACAAAATTTATCACGCAAATTTATGACCTAATTAGTAAGCCTGATAGACTCTATATTCAAGATGGTGCATTCCTTCCATTTCTTCTGTAGTGCTTACTGACTGAACTGAGGAACACCTACAACCATAGGCCTATTCTCTGACATCAGTCCACAGTTCTCTGCCTACTAACTTTCAGCCACAAGGGCAGTAAAGAGGATTTCTACTGCACAGTTTCAACCTAAAGGTGGTGTAATTTTTAAAATCACCTGTCATCTTTCTTGACGTACTGGCCAGTGTGTTCATCAACCACATGGATCTTCACCATTGGGTGAGAAATGATGAAGTCAGATTTAAGCCGATCAGTACGGTGAATGTAGACTCCCATGACAAGGTCATCATCGAGCAAACACTTGGGATGAACTGGGCTGTCTCGGCTTGTTATCTCATGAACACCATCTCCATTAGTCTCTTCATTATCCTCTGAAACTAAAGCAGGAAGAAAAGTCAGTAATAATCGCTCTCATACTTAGGGGTTACATATAGTTAATCTTACAATCTATTGTCTTACTCTGTTAATAGAAGAACTTCAAGGGAAAAGAAAGGCCATTGCTAGCTTTCATTCATCAAGATGACCATTTGGAATTCTAAAATTAGTGGTTTAAAAATAAAAATTCTTATGCCACAATGCACTACAAATCATTTCCTTGTACAGTTAAATAAAAAACTATAAGCTCACTATGCATTCCCACATATAATTGTGAATAATTCATTATTAAAAATGAACATCTTACTCTTATGAATTAAGATACACAGTGTATCTTGACTTATTTTAAATTATACCTTCAATTTTAAGAACTAAAGTTTCTAGAGTTCCGTATTCCCAATGGGGAATACAAATACAAGGCATATACTTTTTATTTAATTTGGGTAACAAACCTGCTTTAGCCTTCTTCTTTGTCTTTTTGGGTTTGGGCTTTGTGTGCTCTGGCACACTGGCATCCGCATCCTGGTCTGTGGAGTGTATTCCCTCCATGGGGTGAGATCCTTCAGGGGCACCTTCTTTCTTCTGTTCACCTTCAACTGCACTGTCACAAACATCTGAGGGACTGAAGCACAGCCCAGGAATGAATCACTACAAATGATTTCTATAACTGTTATTCATGGTATAGCAGAGTGAGTGGTGAGTAGAAGCTTGGATAATCTATCATGTTCCTGTAAAAGCGTCACCATCTGATATTTTCTCATAGAATAAAATGACTATCAAACCAAGATAATATTTTAGACCCAATGAAGAGTTACATATCTTAGGAACCAACAAAAAACAAAACTATGAACTCCATAAAATAAGCTTATACTGAGCAGGCTCAGGCATGAGGATCACACATCTGAGGCTGGCCTCAACTATCTTCTTAATGGTTAAGAATCTCCTTTTCTGTGAGTACCAGCTGGGCTTTATCACCCACTTCCAATAGGATATAGGAAAAATATATGCTATTTTAAAAATATTCACTTCTGTCTTGCTATTACTCTCTCAGAACTTTGCTCTGGGGGAGAAAGTTGCCACCTGGGTGGAGTTCCCAATGCATTGATCCATGTGGCTAAGAACTTGTATCTCTGACCAGAAGCCACCAGGACCTGAGGCCTGCCTGCAGCCTCATGATGATGCAGAGAAGCATCTCTTCTGAGGCTCCTATGGAGAGACTAGCATAGTCTAGCTATGCATCCTGGCTAGCATCCTGATGAAGCTTATGAGAGCCTGTGAAAGTCAGAGCTGCCTTCTGAACAGCAGCAGGTATGAGACAAATGTATTAAGTTAGTATAGTCTGGGCTAGGTTTTTAAAGTGCCAACAGATAGGTCATTCTTACACTAACATATCCTTGAAGCACTGATCATCTAGATTATGGGATTTCTTTTTAGCTGAGAGCTTAAGGGAAAATTACCTAAACTGCCAAAGGCTAGTCACAAAGAGGCTGATAAAGTAACTAGCAAAGTACAAGCTGCTTATGTAAATGATGAGTTCAGGGGAAAAGAGGAATATGTCACTTGGAAGACAGTTTAAATATCTCATTGCCTCTTAAAGAAAACTTATAAATATGAATATAGACTCAGAAATACTTGTTTTATTTATATATATATCATATATCATATATATGATATATATCATACATAAAATTGACTAAAATATTAAATTTGCAATAGTTATTATCATTGATAATTATTCTACAGTGAACAAATACTATCTGTATAATAAGGAAGACAAATCGAGATTAACATATTTAACTTCAAAAAAAGAATTGTGTATGTGTGTGCGTGTGTGTATGTGTGTGTACGTGCGCATGCAAACGGGTCTTCTGAGACAGGGTTTCACCATGGTGTTTTGGTAGGTCTTAACTCCACTATGTGATGCAGGCTGGCCTTGAACTCGAGATTATCCTGCCTTAGTGCCCAAGTGCTGGACTATATGTATGAATCATGGACTACATGTATGAACCACCATATTCAGCAAGCCTGCTACTTCCATAGCAGTTGTAAGTGGGTGAATGTGGACCTGTTGGAGGTAGACTGTCAGTGTTATAGCTCAGCCTCTTACATCACTCAGTTTCTTAGAAGAAACAGGATAGTGCCATTCCTGTCCCTCGTAGGGCTGTTGTAAAGACTCAGAATGTATTCTCATAAAGCTTCTAGCACAGGTACCGCATAAAGGTTGGCAATTATCACTTCAGTGGCAATGTTTCCAAACACAGCACTAACTTTCTTAAATTATAGAATGCATCTGTGTGTCAATATAAAGACCCTAGAGTGTGTCAGTGTGTGTTGAGGTGAAGGCCCTTGAGTATGTCTTATATTTTTGTGAAGTACCTTGTCTCAGGCTTAGCTGGCACTGAGACTTTCTTCTTCTTCTTCTTTCTTTTTTCACTGCCCAGCTTGTCGTCATGCAATAGAGTGTCTGGAGGAAAGTAGGTTAGCTGCTCCTTTAGCTTCTTTCTTATTTTCTTCTTGATCTCCTTTGCCATTTCTTCAGCTACCTGCAGCTGATAGGCTTCGGTCAGTTCTCCTTTCCCTTCTATCCCAGCCTTTTCTCGGCCGTCATCTGAATCATCTGCTGGCTGGGACTTGCCTCTGACTTTCTCCTGTGCAGAATCCACCTTTTCTGGAGTTTCTGGTTCCATTTCCTGTGTGATTTGAGTAACGTTTATTTGGCTTTTCTTGCTTGCCTGGCTCTATACTAACATTATCTGCTGAATCTTCACGTGCTGCTCACTTTTCTAGGTTATTAGTATTAATTTTAGTTCTAAGGTAGCCAGAAGGTTACTTTGGAGGTAACAGGCTAGGAAAAAAAAACACAACAACAAATGTCAGTGCAGGACAGTGTAAGACTTTGATATATGTGTTTACATTGGAGTATTTGAAGAGGTGGAATTGTAAGGGTAAAAATTAAAACAGCTCAGCAGAGACCACAAACAACTTGGCAAAGACCGCAGGACAGCTTGCTGAGCTTGCTGAGAATAGCCATAATAAAAATACCAAGCCCCTCTAGGGACGAGGTGACCAGAAATGTAGAAACAACCAAAGACATATCTTGACCAGTCTAAACATGCCCAAGTGAGTAATGGGCCACTTGGTGTTTATCCTAGAAGGTCTGAGGATTCATGGTCAAAAATAGTGGGCCATCCAACCTGTCAAAATGATTGCTTACGCAAAGTGCTGATGTTTGAAATATCCAATCATATGTAACCGTGCCAGAATTTCCCGCTTTTCCCTTCCCCCTTGTGCCTCCCCCTATAAAAGTTCTAAACTTCCTGGGGTCTTCATCGAAATTCTCTCCCCTGCGTGGGATGAGTTTCGATCCAAGGGCCCTTGTTAGTAAACTGCCTTTTGCCATTGCATCAAGTCAGTCTCTCGTGTCTCCTTGGGTGCGCGCTAATTGGGACTTGAGATGGGGTCCTCTCCGTGGGGTCCTTACAGAATACATGAAATAGCCATGGGGTCAGGAAAGGTATTACGCATGTAATGATGTAAGGACAAGAAAGAAGACAGTAAAACACATCGACTATTAAGTAGTGGGGAAATGTCAGAAATGAGACATTTCTGAGTGGACAAGGGAGTAAACAGTCAACAAAAAACTAGATTTGTATGAAAACGCCACGCAGAAATGTATTACTTCACTGTAGAGGAGAACTGCGTCATTCCTAACCTATTGCGTTTAATACTTTTCATTCTGCCCACAGGTAAGCATGCCTCTCGCTCCTAGCAGAGCTCCTTTTTGCAGCAGACAGAAACCATTACATATACCAAAATGGTCAAAACTGAGAACACCCCCACCCCCGCGCTCGCAAGAATGAGCGCGTGACACAGACGCACACATGCACACAAGTGTGCGTACATCCCCTCACCTCTCCCCCATGCTTGCGTGTTCTCTTGTGCTTGAGTGCGCGCGTGACTGCACGCGCGCACACACCACACACAGACACACACACAGGCGCGCGCATGCGCACCCTTGCCACACCATGCACAATGCTCTGGCGTTCTCGCTCGCTTCCGTGCTTGAGCGCTAGTATGATTGTGTGCGTGCACAGACCACAAACAGACACACGTGCACGCGCACCCCCATGTTCACAGGTCCTTGTGCGCTTAAGCGCTGTAAATTGCGCTAGTGTACACCACACATACATACACACACACACACACACACATACACACACTACACTGCTAGAGGGCTGGCTCTGTGTCTTTCAGTTTAAAAAGTTTAACAAAGATTCTACACATCACAGGTGCTAATGTCCATTTAACAAATAGATAATTAAGAAAAGATTAAATGTATATTTAAATGATCTAATATTTGATATTCTGAGGCATAACTGAATAAACAGTAATATTTAATGATAACACCGCAATTACAAAAATAATTTTAATGTTAATGTATACTACAGAAAACACAGGTAATTAGTAATTTATATTTTATTAATAACATCACCATAATTTATATTTTATAATATAGACTTATATTTAGATTATATTTAATAAAACATCCCGAATTTTGTAGATGTCATTTTATAAAACAATTTTTAAATAGTATACAGAATATTAGATATCATTATATCATTATTTTAAGTCTTTTCCATCTAAAGATGGGAGCTTCTTTACATGAGCTTCTAAGAGATACTATGCAGAAAAATAACTGGATTACGTTTCCTCCCTCCCTTCTGAAAAACATGGAGAATGTGCTTACGCATCAATACAAAAAATAAAAAAGCGGCCACATTTGGATGATGACTCTAGCAAAATTTCATAATAAAAGAAAACAAAAATTTGTGTGATTCGACCAATAAATCTGTGACAGTCCCCATAAATAATACTATAAATATTGCTAAAAATTCTTTTTGCATTTGAATTTGCTTCAAATATTCTTTTAAAAATTCCCTTACCTTCTTCACAACAATCTTCTCCCGAGAGCTAGAGCTCAAGCAATAGTTTACGCAACAGGTAAAAACCTGCTAGCATCTCTTGCTTTAATGAAACAAAACAAAATCACGGAAGAAACGTTTCTACGGATGTTTTCGCAGTTATAATAAAGGCAGAGCAACTATTTCGTAGATTCCCGGATAGCCTCCGTTTCGGGGGCTTTACATATTGAGATGACCCAATAAGGTGGACTCTTACAATAAATCCATCACGCTACTTAGATGTAATCAAGAGAGCCTGTCATTGCTCACCCGGCCGACTTGGTACGCAACAGCTTAGGGGACATTTAAGCCAGAACCTGGGAGACTGCCTCCGCCCATTAGGGCACCGGGCTGGACAGCCTGGACCAAAGGAGAGCGAGCGGGAAAGGAGAGGCCGCTTGCGAGCATCCCACAGTCTCCGGCAGACACCCCTCGCGGGCATCCCCGGGTCTTCCGCACCCCCCTCGCCTCTCTCCGGGGAGCGAGCAGACCTGAGCCCCGGCCACAGCACGCCCGCGGGATACTCACGGACAGGAGCGACAGCTCGGCCGCGCGAAGCGGCTCCCTGAGCCTAGGCGAAGGTGGCCACAGCTCCGCCGGCTCAACCGCTGGCGACGCGCACTGTCCAGCCAGCCCAGTGCCGCAGTGCGGAGGCGCGCCGCCCGTGACGTCAGGCCTGCCTTGCCGCTGTTACCTAGGTAACTCATTCGCGGAGCCAGAGCTCCTAGCCGGACCACGGCCACGCCCCCTACCCAGCCGCAGCAGCGCGCTACCGGAGTTCGGCGGGCGCGCGCGCACCAGGCCTGGGCTGAGGCTCCGCCCCTGCAGCCGGAAGCGAGTTGTGGGTGTTTGTTTTTCTGCTCTTGCGACGTGCCTGTTCTCGCCGCCGGCAAAGCGCTTTAAGGAATGTTGGGGTACAGAGGTGGAAGCGGACGAGTCCGGCGTAGATACGTGAACGAACGAATGAATGAATGAATGAATGAGCGAGTGAATGACCGGGAAAGACTCGTTACTCCACAAAGTGAAACTCGCCTTTAAGTGTGAATGGGGAGCCCTGCTTCAGACAAATCCTCAGGCGCTGAATTTACTGTGTTGAAAAAAGAATTACGCCACGTTTTCTCTCCAACGCCCCCTCACTTCCGCTCCAGGCGCCATCTTGGGCTGTGAGTCACCAAGGAGTGCATCATTCCCTCAAAATTAGAGGCCATTTTCTGCAGCTGCTCTCTTAGCAACCCGTGGCTTCTTTGTTATGGCGACAGTATCGCATATTTGTTCTGACGCCAGTTTTTCCGTTCTGAGTGGTATCAGACCTAAGAAAACACATCTTATTAGCGTCTCAAAACGCAATGAGGAGATGACAGGAAATGTCACCACTATAAAGCTTGCCATGTTGAGCTGCTGAGTTTTCCACTCAAAAAAAAAAAAAAAATCAAACTCTCCACCTCTAAATCTATCTTGATTTAAGATATCACCATGCCTGCAGTGTTTTACCAAACCTATCTTATGTTCCCAGTGGATAGCCTTTCCACCATTACCATTACCTAAGGCAAGCTGCTAGTATGTCTTACAGGGAACTGGCTTCATTACCTGTGTCTTGACTCCACTTTTTGACTACGAATTTTCTTTCACAACACTACCAGACTAACCTTACTAATGTAAAACTGGTAATGCTACCGGTACTCTATTTTAATTACTTCAAAGGAGAAAAATCTCATTACTTTACCATGGATACAGATGCTCCATCTCGCTGGGTTTTCTCTCTCATTACCTTCTTTTCAGTTTATACAATTTTTTTTTGAATTGTATACATCATGAAATAAGCAATATCGAATTGTATGTTGCATGTAACTTTATACAATATTGAATTATGCATACAATGCCAATTTGTACCTGTTTCTGCATGATACTCGCACATATTGTCCTCCTCTCTTGAAAAATCCTAAGTCATGTCCCTTCTGTGAATCTTAGTAAGTTACCTATTAAATACTCTGAGCTTTCCTAATATGCTCACCTCATTAGAATGTGTGTACTGATTTAAAATTTCTTATTGGATTTTAATATTTTCATCTACAGCATGTTAAGAAGTATCGAACAGTATCTAATACACAGTTATTAGATGGATTGTGAGCTTCTAGAGCTTTGTCTTCTGTACTTTTCATATATACTCTTAACACTTGAATTCCCAGTTTCACAGTTATAATATTGGTTGTTTATTCTGGATCGGTTATTATTTTCAGGACACAGTTGGCTGACATTCATGCTAGTGACCATTTTGGTCCCTATTTTTGTAACAGCTCGAGTAGGTATATATATTGGAGGGGTATATTTGCAAAGGTATATTGTGGGAGAAGGCAGTATTTCTAGCAGAAGTGACATTTAAAGCCTAACAACATATACAGGTATTTTGGTTGCAAAGAATTTCTGGGTAAAATGGTGTATGTGTTTACTGCTCTGTAGTTTTCCCCCAGTTTTGTCTGTTGGAAAGATCTAGGAGAAGTGGGATGCTAGGAGCAATGAGTACATAGTACTTACAAGACCTTGGTTTCTTGAGCACCATTCTCCTTTAAAAGAATGAGGGCCCCTTGGAGAAATGCTTGATTCTAGAACAGGAACAGATCATGTACAAAATGAAATTGAAAAAATATTGTTACAGAAATTAAGGATATTCTTGCAAGAATGATGAAACGTGAGAGATTGCCAGAAGTCATCTTGAAAAGGCCACAGCTGACTACAGACAGCTCAAATTAAGCAACCTTATAATCATGTTAGAGTGCACTAAACAAGAATACTTAAAGCCACAGTGAAATAAAAGAATATTTTGAAAACGTGAAAGAAAAAGTTCTCTCTTACATTAAAATTCAAACTAATATAGAAGGAATGATATGTGCAGAAATATCACCATATGACAACCATTATAATAATTACTCATTTTGAAACATCACTATATGTTAAGCCAGAGGGTAAGAGTTTAAGAAGCTTATAATGTTATTTATACACACATACTAAGTAGCCCATTAAGTATACTTTTGTTATAAAGGGGACACTGTAGAAATCTGCCAGTGGTGATAAAAATCACTACTGCTAGTCAACCAACTATCAACATCAAACCCCACCTGGAAAGAGGCATCATAATCAAAGCATCACATGTTAAGTGACTTAAAGAATAGGAAGTTGTTCTTTCACTTTCAAAAGTCAGAAGCTCAGAATGAATGTGTCTATTAGGATTTCTCTCCTTGGCTCTAAGCTAGCTGTTTTTTTTCCCTGTCTTCGCATGATCTGCCACCACTCCACCTGATTGTGTCTAAATGTCCTCTCAGTACAGCCATACTAGTTTAGGATCTATCCTAATGACCTCCTTTTAACTCAGACCCTTTCTTCCAAAACAGCCACATTCTAAAGTATTGGGCTCAGGGCTGGAATGAATTTGGGAGTAAGCTCAGCACATAACAATAGTGATTTATAGAAACAACAGTTCCAACAGTTCTGTTAAGTGGTGGGTTTCTGGTTCAAATGAAATAACTGTAGAAAGATATATACATGTAATTATATATATATATTAACCAATCAAATTTTATTGTAGTCTATGTATTAGAAGCTATTAAGGACTTGTGGATGTGTAAGTATCTTAAGTGTGTGTGTGTGTGTGCATGTGTGTTTGTGTATGTGTGCCTGAGAATTTCCTTTGCCTTTCTTCAAAGCCATTGATGTAATTCTGCCAGCATTCTGAAATGATTTTCAATTTCCCTTTCAGAGTATCTCTTTGACATACTGAGCAAAATAAGAGTTATTTTTCTTTAATTCTGAATATTAATGAAAACTTGTTTGTAGTAGTAATTTTCATTCAGACTTAGAAAATGACTTATTGAAACAATTTTCTTTCTGATACATGTTATTTGGAGTGTAATTCTGAGAAAATCATATTTGCCTATAGATACAAACTTGGCCAGGATCCTCTCAGCGTTCCATGGTCCCAGGAAATTGTCTGTAGATTTTTTGCCTACATATGAATCCCACTGTATTAGGAAACATTTCAACGTCTCAGAGTCTTTCATGGAAAACAGAAACTTCTGCAGAGACTACAAGAAAAAAAAAATCAATCATTGTCCTATTCCTCCCCCATAACCTCTGCTCATTCTAATGTTTTGAGGCAATGGGCACTAGAGGGCAGCAGAGCAACACATATCCATACTAGAGCCAAACTGCTGTTTAAGAGTGTATTAAGACTTCTTTACTATGCATTGATTTATTTCCCAAATGCGTTCACTAATGGTGACTTTACCAGCCTGAATTTGTTTATTTACTTTTTTGCATTTTATTTCTATTTTTTGTGGAAGAATGTTGGCCTGCATGAATGTTTTTGTACTTTGTGTATACCTGATTCCCCATGCGTGTGTGTGTGTATGTGTGTGTGTGTGTATATATATATATATCTTGTGTGTACCAAATTCCCCTGTATGACATAACAAGCTGTCAGATTCCCTGGAATGGAGTTACAGATTGCTCTGAGCTGACATGAGGTTGCTGGAAAATAGCTCAGGTCCTCTGCAAGGGCAAGTGTTCCTCACCACCAAGCCATCTCTCCAGCCATCATTTATTCATTTATTCATTTATTCATTTATTCATTTATTCATTTATTCATTTATTCATTTATTCATTTATTCATTCTGAGACAAGGTCTCAGCTCAGCGAGCCTAGGCTGGCCTTGAACTTGCTGTGTTGCTGGGGATGAATTTGAACTTAATCATCTTTTGGATCCACCTCCTGAGTGCGGGATTACAGGTGTGCACCACCATGCCTAGTTATGACGTAGTACTGAGAGGAGAGCTCAGGTTCTCAGTCGTGCTTGAGTCACTTGCCAGCTGTGTGACCTAGGGACGTTGCACTTATAAGCCTCACTCTCCTTATTGGTAAATGGATATGAATACTCTTAGAGAATTAATTATTGTGAGGATAAATTGTTCAATACATGTAAAGTATTAGATTATTATGACTTTGCTACCTTTGTGTTTGAATCATTTTAGTTTCTATCTTTACATGTTTAAGTAACATGTTAACTTCTTGCTTTTAATCAACTATACATACTTTTTTTCTCTCCATCTCTCTCTTTTTTTTGAGAAGGGTTTCTCTGTGTAGCCCTTCTGTCCTTGTTCTGTAGACCAGGCTGGCCTCCAATTCAGAGATCTGCCTGCCTCTGCCTCCCAAGTGCTGAGATTAAAGGCGTGCACCACCACTGCCTGCCTTATATATTATTTCCTGACACATGACCTTCTAAGGTAAAGAAATTCACAACCTTACGTTGCTCTTCACTCTTCTTCCCCATCACAGTCTCACTCGCAAAGTCTTCTATTGCTGATAGGCTTATTTTATATTCTGGGAGAATTTATTAATCTTCTAACCATCTGATATATGTTTTATGGTAACTAAAAAATGTATACATTCTAAGAGTTTGATCTGATCTCTAATGTTCAGTTTTTCAGCATTTTAAAGACTCAATTTCATACAGAGTATCACACCAGGCAAGATTCAGTCAGAAAACAAAAATCATACTAATGTTTGGATAGGAAAATAGTTGTAAATTTAATAAGTAATAAGCTAAGTAAGAGGTGTATTGATTACTAAAGGGGGAGCC